AGCATCCATAGCTTTTTTCATACCCTCAGACTCATGTTCTCTATCTAACTTACGACGTTCATCAGGGTTACGAATAAGCTCTTCCCCGTATTTAACGCCTTCAGCAAAGGCTTTTTGAGCAGCAGGGTCATCAGCATCTAACCCACAAGCATCCATAGCTTTTTTCATACCCTCAGAACTCCTCTCCATATTTGACCCCTTCAGCAAAGTCATCATCATCATCATCTTCAACAGCTTTATCACCTGTAGCCTTTGAATAAGCTAAATCTGTGAGGGTATCTGTAATTTTCTTAATCTCATCAGGGGTAGCATTAGCAAAATAGGTTTGAAGAATGTCTTTTATTTTAGCATCCTTATCTTCATCTAATCCTATTTCCTCATTAGTAAGACCTTCCTCTGCAGCCTCTAATTCATTTACTGCAAGTAAGGCTTTCCCTAAATCAACCTCAGTACGCTCAATATCAGGATTTGCGTCCTTTGCATCAAAGACCGCAAGTGCCTTTTTTAATTGTCTTTTTAGCTTTGTCACAATTTGTCTCCCTAAATTAATTTGTGAATCAGCGACAACAACATCCGGCCCCGCACGGCCTTCGTCTACTAAAGCAACATGATTCCCACGAATGTTCGTCATGACAAAATCATAAGGTTGACCTTCAAAGACACCTGACTGTAAAACGGGGTCAAACATATACCCTGCAGATAGCTCTATTTTCTCACCATTAAGAATAGCGCTAACAGCCTTAGAGTCTGTGAAAATGAGTGAATTATCTAAATAGGGGGCATTAAATTGGGCATCAGTACCTAAACTACCGATCCTAAACTCTTTTTGAGGTGAATCTGCATGCTCTAGGTGATGGTCCCAGAGAATTGGTAGACCGTTAAAGGTCTTTGCACCATCAGATAGAGCTGTTCCAGATCTATAACCTTGATAAATTTTAGTAGGATCTAATCCTAATTCCTCATATCGTGGTATTTCATAGCCATAATAGGGGTTAACAGTTTCTTTTGAGATATGACTTAAAGAGACATGGAGGAAGCCATTCTCATCAATATGTCTTTTAGAGGATGCATCTAGAATAATTTTATAAGAATTCCCCATAAGACCATCCTTATTCAATATAGGGGCTATAGGTACAATTACAGTTAATTAACTCTCCCGCTTGTACATTCCTTTGAACAGCATAGTCATAGCAACCTTCTGCTAAAGTATAGATGGTCCCATCCATGCTTATATGCGATTCTCGGGGATGTTTTGATCCACCTCTATGTATCCACACCCCTTTTGTGATACCTAAGGACTTGCTTCTTTCTCTAGAAATTGTCTCGACAGCTTTATTAGTCTGATCACGGCTGATCATGGCCGCTCTTCTCTTAACGATGCCATACCTTTCACTTAATTCTTTAGTGATAAGCCCTGCATCTCTTCCATTGGCAATCCCGCGCATGAGAATTCCTTGGACTTCTAGAAAATATTTTTGGGGGATAGACTTAATTAGACGGGTATTCTCTAAAATAAGAGCCTGTAGTACATTGTTTGTTGCATAGCTATTGTCTAATTGAACAACAAACCCTTTTTTCTTGAGATTTTGCATAAAGGATGCCGTTGTAGATGTATTAGCCCTTTGAACAAAATCATTGGCAAGCTTATCAGACATCTCATTAAACTTTTTCGTCCACCTTCTCATAACCTGCTTAAAACGTTTCTCAATTTCTCTAGATGGACTAGCATCTGTCACATACCTGTAAATCCGCTTGAATAAAGGAGTTTTAATATCTTCTACAATATCAGGGAGACGTTGCTTATATGTCGCCATGAGCCAATACATGACGGAATTTTGCATTTCATCAATTAATTTAAAAAGACGCCTCTGATACATCAACTTCAAGGCTAACTTAGGAGTGGAAGGCTTGACTTTAACAGGCTTATTGAGCTTATTAATTCCCATTTATGCCGCCAATGGAAACTCTTCTTCCTCAATATATTGTTGATAAAGAGTAAACAAAAACTTAATCCTATCCATATCAGAGGTAAAAGGCTCTTCTCTATAAGCTCTCTCGACCACTGTATCTAAGTCATGGTGGGCTTTTAAAAGATTTTGAGGCATTTCTAAGGGGTCATACAAATGGGCAAGTGTAGCGTTAGGCCATGCTATACGGGCATCAAGAACTTTTTGAGCAGCAGCTTCAATTTGTTGTTTGTGTTCTTCCGATATGTCTTTTGGCCAGGGGAAGTTGTTGTAGACAATTTCTGAGGAGTAGTTATAACGATTTTCTAATCTTCCACACACTGTTTTCATCCAAACTATATGCATTTTTGATTGAAGTATTCCAAAATGAAATATGTTAGCGCCAGGAATAGCATGACATTTATTACCTACAATAGTATTTGGAGTAAAAAAACTCATAGGGATATAGTCCCTATTTTCTGAAGTAATACTTGGTATAAGGAGATAGTTTGATGATGGCTGCATTATCTGTTTAAATAAATGGTGATAGTGATAACTTCTAGTTGAAGCTGCAACACTTTTAGCTCGAAATTCTTTTACTTTTTGAATACGTTCCATAACTAATGGAAGTTTAGAATATTCAGTTGGATCAATATTTTTTAACCATAAAACCCACTTTTTTTGTCCATATAAATATTCTTTAGCATTGATAAATGGTTTAATAAATTTTTTTGCTTTAGGTTCTTTTTCTAGAAACACTATTTTTTCTTTATCTGTAAAAAGAAAATTGCCACCATCTTTTGGCATATTACCAAGCTTCATTTTTGGAATTAGTTTAAATGGATTAGAACGACTAGAAACATATATAGATGGCATATTAATTAAGTATGGGCTAATGTTAAGCAGCATCAGTATAATCCCATATTCTTTTATTTTTTCGTTCAGTCAAAGAGAAGCTTGAAATAGAGCAGATGACCTTAGCATCATTCTTCCCTTCTCCCTTCCATACGAAATTTCTATGGGCAAAGTTGATGCTTACCTTGTATTGCTCAATCATGGGTTGCCACAACGTAGTTACTTGCGTTCCCTGATAAATAGAATTAGTTGAAATGAAAGCTGTTTCAATCTTAGGGTTGGCTTGCATGTATTGAGCGGCCTTCAAAAACCAGGCAGAACAATAATCTAATATGCCCGTTGCTTTAATACCCTTGAAGACAAGTTGCATGTCCTCTTTTTGTTCTTTTGTTTGATAACGAAAGCCTCTAAATGGAGGATTGCCAACAATATACGAGCATTCTGATGGGCTAATAAAATCTTCCCAATTGACCCTTAAAGCATTAGCTTCAAGTAAATTAGGGGTATCAGAGTCATCAATTGCTTTAAATTGCTCTATACAGCTTTGAATTGCATGAGGATCAACCTCAATTCCATAAAATTGTTTAGGTGAAAGTCTTTTTGGACCTAATGTTATACACCTAATATGGTCTTCCAGCTCTTTTAATGCTAGATATGAGTGAATTAGAAAGGCTCCATCACCGCATGCAGGGTCTAAAATCTTAATATTAGCTATCTCATCATGGATGAATTCTAAAAGTGTGGGAAATGCCCTTTGCTCATTGAGCTTATTTTGAAGCTCCTCTAGAAAGAGGGGATGAATGACCATCAAGATGGCTTTTTTACTAGAATAATAAGCTCCACGCTCTTTTTGTGTTAACCCCATACCCTTCCTGCTTCATCTGTATCATTCTCTTGAATCCCAAGTCCCGGTAATTCTGGGACATTAGCTACATCAATGTTGTCGTAGCCTGATTTAGGGTTCTTAGCTAAAAAGTCACGTTGTTCTTCCTGAGAGATAATCCCCCTATCAACATAAATAGCAGCAGTATCAGCAATAACTTTATTGATATCAGCTTGTGCCCGCTCATCCTCTTCTCCTAAAGGTATGAATTCAAAGGTTAAGTTAGGGTCAATCTCACCCCATTCATTCATTTGGAGAATCTCAAGGGCCCTCTGGCAAGGAAGACGCAAGGTCTTTTCTTGCTGGGAATACACATAATCATAAAAATTTTGCTGATCCGCTTCACCAGTGGCATTAAGGCCTGCAGGGGTTATTCCTAAATATTTTACGACTGTTATACGAAACATCGCAGGAATAAGCTCTAAAGCTTGACGAACTATGACATCAACACCCGACAAAGAGGTATCGAGTTTCATTAAGTCCTCGGAATCCTTGTCAATAACCATACATCCGTCATTGGATTTCATTTTAATGAAATATTGCATGCGTGCGGTTAAATCTGCATCACCGCCACCTTGTAAGACCCCATACATATTGGTCTTAAAGGCTGTTAAGCTAAATTTAGTTAGCAATCGAGCAGCTGCTTCACGGGTTTCTGTGAAATGTTTCACGTAATCAAGGACAGTTTGAGCTGCGCTTATGCCAAAAAAGTTGTAAGAAGGTCTAAGTAAAATTGGTATCTCATTGGCAGAGAAATATAAAAATCGACTACTATGGATTTCTTGTCCCAAAATCCACCACGTATGAGGCCAAAAATAGTCTGGTTCAAGGGGATTATAGGCATTATAGACCCCCGGGTAGATATTAATAGGCTCAATGACAGTAAATCGTTTTAATGACCCTTTCTGGAATGTGTAAGGGTCTAAATGAAGGGGTGTCTTAAGAACATCTGGGTCACGTTCACCTGTATCTATATAGGCAAGGCATCCGCCAAAATAGCCCATTTTTGTGGAAGCATCATGGAAAACACCTTGAAGGTTATACTTTCTCATCAAAGCATTAAGACGTTGGATTTTATCATCAGAGGATGTGGCTTCCCCTTCCCTCTTAATTTTGATCCACTTCCTGGTCATCTCATCAGCAACAGCTTCCACGCCCGCTCGTATGAGGCCATTTTGCATTAACGTAGAAAGGAAGGCATACCCTAAAAACCCGTTATATGAATCACAGCACCGTGGATCCATCATCATGGTCTTATTGATGAGATTATAAACTCCACAGTCTTCCAGCATCTGGTCCATAGCTATATGGACTTTTTCATTTGCCCCTAAAGTCACGGCAGGCTTAAACATCCGGCGTGTATCATCTAATGAGGGGATAGACCGCCAATAATGCATATCCTCTGAAATTGAGGGATTTATTTTCATCGAGGATTTAAACATAAATACCTTTGAATAAAGGTTATTTCACATTAAACTTCATAGGGGATTTGCCTTTGATGTGCTGGAAAAGGGCATAGCGGATGGCGTCAATACAGTGATTAAAAGCATCAACGATTTTGGGTTTGATAGTGCCTGTATTCCTGTCTAATTCATAAGAATACAGCCTAAATTCCTTAGCTGTATTAACACAGCGGGGGTGGATGATAATCTTCTCAAAATTCTTAAGATAGGTAATGCCGTCTTCAACAGATCCTGCCCATTTAGGAGCAGCTTTAATATTAAATCCACGTTTACGAATATGAACTATAGTTTCTGGTCTTGAAGAATCTGCAAATATTAAATGTGCACGAGCGGTCGGTATTTTATCAAATAATTGAGCTGTGTTATCAAGTTCAACACCTACTCCATAGGCCTCTTGGTCTACATACAGGGTATTTTCTAAAATGAAACATCTGATCATCACTGTAGGGTCTCTTGCAAAGCCCCAGTCAACTCCGTGATAAAAAACGACATTCCCTGATGTTTCAAACTCTTCAACAAAAAATTTACCCTTAAATATCTGTGCCTCTGATATAATCCTTGGATTACCTTCCCAAATATGCTCATAAGCCTCTTGATTAACCCGTTTACAGTAATCTTTTTCTTGCCTTAATGTTTCTGGAAACCAGGGATTATCTTGCCAACCAACCTTAACTACTACACAATTTTCAGGGGGGTTGAGTACAAATCGGTTATAGGTTTCATCTTCTGGATTAAAAGGGTTGAATGAAATCCATATTTCAGAGTTTTCCTTACGTATTGTAGGAATGAGGAGGTCCCATGATTCTTTTGAAACACTTTGCGCTTCCTCCACCCAACAAATATCAACGCCTTCAAGTGACTTAATTTCTTGGACATTGTGACGGAGGCCCTTGAATATAAACTCTGAACCTATTGAATTCCTGATTTCTGTTTTGGTGATATCAAAGGACTTATGGAGCTCATGTTTGTTAATAATATCAACAAGTAAACGATAGACTGAATCCGTTATACTATTTTGGAGCTCACGGGCACATAAAATTCTTAATTTCTTTTGCGAGGCAAGTGCTAGTAATATTTGTGCAAATGCATATGATTTCCCAGCACCCCGACCACCATAAAAAACTTTATAACGGGCAGGCTCTAAGAGGGCTTCAAACTTAGGGGCACATTCAAACCTGACCCTACTCATCATCCTTAGTCTTTTTAAAGACTACTTCTAGTCTTTTAGGTGATAAAGACCCGTCAGAGTTAGATAAATCCATCTTCTCACCAGGCTTCTCACCACCTGTATCTCTTAGGATTTCAAATGCTTTCATATCCCCGTTTAAAGCCTTCTGGTAAACAATTGAAATCAAAGCTAATTTATTATTAATTTCTGATTTAGGGATATCTGGGAAAATTTTGGTAATAGTAGCAGATATATACTCATCTGGTCTTTGCTCTAGGACCATTTGCACTATTTCTTTTAATAACTTCTTACGATTACGATTTTCAGCCGCAATGAGGCCACCTTTAGAGCCATTGGCCTTTTTTTCTTCTTCCGTCCACTGGGATGAAGGTTTTAAGTTTTTTAAAGAAATATCATTTATCATAGCTTTTTAAAAAGTAGGGGAAGAAGAGATTTCTCATATTCATCCCCTACACCCCTATTAGTCATCCACTTTACCTAAATTTTTAGATACACTGATTTTATTGAGGTACTTCTCATAAAGTCTAAAAGGGAATGCAATGATTTCTATGATGGCTCCTAAGAATAGGCATACAATTTCTAAAAAAATCCATGCCAATAAGACGCCAAT